AGGCAGCGGTGCTCAACTGCTTATTTCTCGAGCCCCTCTGCATGAAAAGTGGTTCCGTCTTTTTTGTCGTGCTCGGAGCGCACGTGTGGGTGAGTGTTTGAAAAATCGCAACAAGCAATTTCTTTATAGTGGAGAAAATTTGTCAATACAACCCTAAGTGAGGCAGCGGTGCTCAACCGCTTATTTCTCGAGCCCCTCTGCATGAAAAGTGGTTCCGTCTTTTTTGTCGTGCTCGGAGCGCACGTGTGGGTAAGTGTTTGAAAAATCGCAACAAGAAATTTCTGTATAGTGGAGAAAATTTGTCAATACAACGCCTGTTTTTGCGCGGTTTCAAGGCGGTTTGGGAGGGTGCCTGGAAGCGCAGGTCGTTTTGTACTGAAAGTAGTGAAGGAATGGATGAAATTGAGTTTTGTTTTTTTGGTAAGTGCGCTGTTGCCATATGGATGGTGTGTGCTGAATCTCTCTCGCGGAGTTTTGCGTTTATTTTTGGGAAATAGACACAAGTGGGTATACCCACCCCTTTCTCGGACAAAAGTGGGTACTCGAAAATCCAGCGTGCGCGCACTTCATAGGCGACCCCCAAACGACTCAAAACCCCATTCTGACACCTGGGCGACACAGCCAAGGACCATACACAGCATGGGCATCGATTTTTCCCCACTTTTAGGCACACCTTTGGCCCTAATACCGCCGACGCGCGCAAGGCCTCACCAGAGTGCCCACTTATGTCCGACATCGCGGTGGGTATACCCACCGGCGTCAACTAATTTTTTCATGTACCCACTTGTGTCTGTATTTTGACCCACTTTTGTCCAAATTGTACCCACTTTTGTCCACTTACGGACGGCGGAAATCGAGCGGAAATCGACCTCCACGTCACCGCACGGCAGAACATCGAATTGACTCGGAACGTCTCAGAACCTCCCAAAACCATATCCATGGCATCTTTCCTATCCATGGCTGCCGAATGCGGACCGACCACGGAGGAACATGTCAGAAACATGCCAGACCCCTTCGGTACCGGCACGGGAAGATACCAGGCACGGGAAGATACCCGCGGCAAGCCCGGCAAGCAGCGCACTAACGGCACGCCACACATAAATGCGTGACACACAACGGACAACACAACCAACGGACAACACAACCAACGGGTCGCGCGTACAGAACAAAAAGACGCGCAAACAGCAACAACACACACACACACACAAACACTAACCACCACGACAAGTGCACACCGACTCGTCACGGCAGCAGTCGGCTTGCCGCGGGTATCTTCCCGTGCCTGGTATCTTCCCGTGCCGGTACCGAAGGGGTCTGGCATGTTTCTGACATGTTTCTCCGTGGTCGGTCCGCAGTCGGCAGCCATGGATAGGAAAGATGCCATGGATATGGTTTTGGGAGGTTCTGAGACGTTCCGAGTCTATTCGATGTTCTGCCGTGCGGTGACGTGGAGGTCGATTTCCGCTCGATTTCCGCCGTCCGTAAGTGGACAAAAGTGGGTACAATTTGGACAAAAGTGGGTCAAAATACAGACACAAGTGGGTACATGAAAAAATTAGTTGACGCCGGTGGGTATACCCACCGCGATGTCGGACATAAGTGGGCACTCTGGTGAGGCCTTGCGCGCGTCGGCGGTATTAGGGCCAAAGGTGTGCCTAAAAGTGGGGAAAAATCGATGCCCATGCTGTGTATGGTCCCTGGCTGTGTCGCCCAGGTGTCAGGATGGGGTTTTGAGTCGTTTGGGGGTCGCCTATGGAGTGCGCGCACGCTGGATTTTCGAGTACCCACTTTTGTCCGAGAAAGGGGTGGGTATACCCACTTGTGTCTATTTCCCTTTATTTTTTGTTACGGTCCGTACAACGCCCGTTTTTGCGCGGTTTCAAGGCGGTTTGGGAGGGTGCCTGGAAGCGCAGGTCGTTTTGTACTGAAAGTAGTGAAGGAATGGATGAAATTGAGTTTGGTTTTTTTGGTAAGTGCGCTGTTGCCATATGGATGGTGTGTGCTGAATCTCTCTCGCGGAGTTTTGCGTTTATTTTTTGTTACGGTCCGTACATGTACTACGGTACGCCCGCCCTCGTCGTTGAATGACTGCATTCAGCCCACTTCAGTCCCAGCAACGTCACGTCATGGCGCCTACCAAGCATAACACCCCAAAGTTGACGGATGATACCATCCGGAGAATTTACTGCCTGTGAACTTCAACGAGTGTACACACTTCCATCCGTTGTAGTAGAGACGTGAGAGCGCCGAGGACGAGCAATGTTACGAATCGTCCCGTCTACGAACCCCCAGCACCTAAGGAGAGGTGATCCTTGGCCCGCGATGGCCTCACAGAATGCATCGATTTTGGGAAGGATTGCGTCTACTTGCAATTCGTTAACCCTAGCTCAGCTGTCATCCGTTCGCAAGGAAGTAAGCACACGATGCCGAACACCCTTAGCAGGATGCAGCGCACCCTTCATGCGACTCGCCGAATGCCTCACGGCGCTTCGCGCTTGGTGATGGAGAGCCTGGTCCAGTGAGAACCCGGCGTGCTCCGTCCCGGCTTTGTAGGGATGCGAGGTCAATGGTCTAACGACTACGGCATGTACGCGACTATGAGCACACACACACACACCAGATGCTGCGGAACCCCCTCTGTTGACTATATCTCTGCGGGAACGTATCGGATGGGAGTGTCCGATAGCTTGAATAAACGGCGTTGTCCGTGCAGACACGATCCAAAAGGTTTGATGCCAATTGGAACTATGTGCATCGAGGTACGACACGATTACTGCTTCCTGACATGCTGCGGAACCCCCTTTTTCAGCATATATCTGCGGGGACTGGTCGTATTCAGCTTCCAAGTAGGATTTCAGATAGCTATAGTCCATACCTACACGATGCAAGTTGTTTGAGGTCGATTGGAGCTTTGTGGGAGGAGATCTGCCTGGTGGAGCAAATAGCAATGCCGTTTTCTTTTCGCTTGGCAAGCCCATAATGTTCCAGAATGTATCAGCCTCGAACGCGGGCGCGGTACGTTACCCTGTTTTCACCCTCTCCAGGTGTTGGTTGGCCCTCGACAGTTACGTGCTGGGCTGTCGTATCGTATGGAATATCGCACCCCGGCTTCTCGATACCCCACCAGGGTCACTGGAACTGTCTTCCCTCACTCTCATGAAAAAAAATGTGTTGGCGAATATGGTCTGATGCTAGCGAGTTCACGAGTATTTTGGTTGTGGTATATACTACCCACCTGGGGATGACCATTGGCTCAG